TTAAATTAACAGTAAATAAAAAAAAAATCTTATGCAGAACTAAAAATAAATTTAAAAAATAATCACTATAAAATACAAGCAAAATTAATTATTACCGTTAAATACAATTTTAATATTAGAATTAAATGTATAAAATTTTTAAGGAGTCAAAAGTGTTTATCACTATGATGTATTATGAAATATAATTGAAATAAAATTCCTTTATAGAAATTGTGCTATGATACTCATCTATAATTTTAAAAAAGCAGCGCGATTTAGAATTTTAAACAAAACTTTCAAAAATATTTTAGTATTTTTTGCTTATTTGCACCAATAAAAAGCATAAAAATTGCAAGAGAAAATTGCTTGTTTGAAATTTTCTAATTTTCTATTAGTTAAGATTTAAAATATTATTCTCTAAAAGAAGTAGTTACAAATTTCCTTACAGCATAGGAAAAGCTAAAAAAATATCCAGTCCTGAAAGCATGCAACAGCTTTATAATTATTTGGAACGTTAATTATGCTTGATAAATATGCTACATTTTTAAAAATCAATCTCAATTTCAAAAATAAAAATATGTAGAAATTCTAATTTGTGAAATGAGGCGCTACAACCAGCTTTTTCTTGACAATTATACGCGCTGCAATAGGCAACCAATGTTAAATTGCTGCAAGTCGTCCCTACTCCTCCGGATGTGATCAAGGTGACAGCGGGCAACGCCTCAGACGAGGGAGCAAACCCGTTTGGGTTAGTCTATTTCTTATAAGGTCCATGACAAGAACAGTCAAATTCGAACTAAAAAAATGTGCACTAGTGGTGAAAAATTATACAATTTAATTTTAATTTAATATGGCTCAGTAACTCTATCATATGAGGAAACGGAAATGGAAATAGTAAAGGCTGAAATCATAAACAATTGGGTAATTTACATAATAATACCTGCACATATCTTTGAAGAATAATTTTCTTTATGTATTCAATTTCTTTTTTCAGCATATTTCCTTTCATTTTAGAATTTTTGGATTTAATCAAGGATTTCTGTTTTCCTAAAAAACACTAAATACATTTAGAATGTATAGAAAAAGTGACTAATTTAATTTCTTTACTAATATGAAATTCAGAAGAAATATGAAATATATATGATAAAGCCCGGTTACAGAGCTGGTGTGGCAGAATTTTTAGAATTTAGTAACACACCAAACAACAAAACCTAGAAATGCCAAAACTTTTAGAATTTAGAGCAGGCATTGGAAGCAGAATTTAGAAAGGTACTAACTATGCAGTCGAATTCAAGATCCACAGAGATTGCATCAGATGGGAAAATCCCTAGTGCGAGCTCTGTGTATGATGCATTAAGACATATTAGATGGATCTTTTAGATGGTAAGTTTTCAATTTCTTTATTAGTAAAAAAATCCCTTTCTGTAATGTCTGCCCAAGTGATAATATTAGAAGCATTTTTGATATTTTCCATGCTTGGGTCTGGTGAAAAGCAGAGAAAATAAAGGGAAGACAAACATGTTAAAAAAAATATTCTAGTATCAGGAGTAAAATATTCAAATATTATGCCTTCATTGTTCTTCCAGACGTTCTCCAAAAAGTAAGAAATTTCTCAAATCTTCCAGAATCGTACGTCTATAAATCTTGTCTTCAAATCCTTCTAAATTTTCCAAGCTGCAATGTCAAAAATAATAAAGAAAAATTATCCCAACCGATTCTGTAACAGCAAAAGGCCAAAAATATTTTGGGGAAAAAAAAAAAAGGAGGCGAAAAATGTAAAATTAATTTTATAGAGAAAACTGATGCATATTCTGAGACAATTACATGGGGAAAACGCTTACTATGAAAAAATTAAAAAGAAGACATTTTAAATTAATTACATAGCTAATTTTGCTTTTGCTAAGAGCTGTTTCGTAAATTATGCTTTATAGCATAATACCTTGTTTTTTTTTCAGATTCGAAATATTGTATAATATGTTGCCAAAATGAATTACTTTAATGTTATTTTTTAAGTAAAATTCCAATATATTACCATTATTTTAATTAAATTTATCAATGTTATAATGTTTTAAAAAAATCGTTGAAAAATTCTCAGATTTCGGAATTAAAAATTTTCTATACAAAGTGATCTCAAAATCGCCAAAATATTGACAAGTCGCCAAATTTAGAACAATTTAATAAAAGAATTCACATCCCCAAAAGCAAAAATTGTTTAAGAGCTCTTTATTACAAGAAATTAATTTTGAAATGCTTATGTTTCACTTCTTGCTTAGAAACTCGAGTAGCCCATCATTTATATTAGAAATAGAAACAAATTTTAACCCATGAACCCATTCAAAAGATAACCATATACGTCAATGAATCGCCAAAAATATTCCTCCAAAATGCTAATTCACACTCAAAATGGCAGTCGTAAAAACAGACAGAAATTTCAGATGATTAAAATTAAGGACCTTCTACTGATTTTGGCTAAAATTAAGGACTTTTAAGGACCAAAAATCGATTCCAAAAAAATTAAGGACTCTTAAGGACCGTACGAGCCCTGTGATTTGTAAGCTTTTAAGATTTCGTGAATACTTACGCATGAAAGAAGCTCTGAAAATTTGCAGATTCTTCCCCTCTCGCATTAGCTCGGTTCCCAGCCAGTGGAACTTATAAACTGTTGACGCGGCCTCCCTCTTTATCCAAAAATGAAAAACAGGGTTAGTGCAACTTGAAAATCAGGAGTTGTACTATCTTCAATGCGTATTGGCAGTTTAATTTAAATGGCCACCCAGACAGAAAAGTGGTTAGTGACTCTGACTGCCATACCAATGGGTCGGAGTTCGAATTTCAAAAAAGGCATGGATGTTTTCAAGTGTATAAGGTCTATACGGTAAGAGAAAGCAAGCACTCAAAATACACAGCCTCTTCAAAAGGTCAGTGTCGAGAAAAAGGGGATAGGAGAATTTGGGACCACCACTCGAGGTGTTCTTCCTCGAAACTGGGGCGAGACTGCACAGTTATGTGTGACGTGATAACCCTACATCTGTGTGACCAATGGTGAAATTTTGGTGTGCCGCTCTCTTTTACTTCTTCCTGTTTAAATGAATTGAACGTGCATCTCTAAGGCCGAGAGCAACTAATAAATGATGTTGAAAAAAGATAACATACACAATTAAATTGAAATCATGGCAACTTCATATTAAAACTTCACTCACTCACTTCATTCACTCAGTTTCCTCGAATTTCATTAGAGATATATTTCTCATTCAATCGATTCAGTTCTCACTTCGTAGTGAAGTAAAAACAGATAAAATCTCAACCTTCATTAAAAATTGTAAAATACAGAAAAACCTAAAACACCAAATACAGTTAAAAACAGTTTTAAAAACAATTTTTAAATTAAAATTAGAGTTTCTAGGCGCAAAGCCAAGCAATTTGGACAGCGGGTAGGAAGACGAAATTTTCAATTCACAAACTTTAAAGTTAACTTTTGGTCATATTAAGTAAAAAGACAGTGAATTTGGTGCACCAAAATGACTTAATTCACTATTCTACTAAAGTTCAATTATTCAAATGTAAAAAAATGGCCACCTCGTTAGGTTTAGCGCCACTTAAACTTTTAATTTGTTGATAATTGTACAACTATTGCATGCAGATTGATTAAAGGCATTAAAATCTTAATCGGGACATAAGAATATTATAACTGTATCATTTTTAAAGCAAAAAATTGCATAGTTTACTAACATAACGGGAATAAAAAACGGATCTTACCGAGACGGGTAAGAGGGTGGCTATATATAAATATATATTGTTACAAATTGCCCAGCTCAGCTAAGATAGCTTCCTGGCAAAGCGGGGTTAGAATATCCAGATTTTGTGACAAAATTAGTGTCTTGAGTTCAGAGACTAGCTTGAGAACGATCGACTGAGTCGGGAGCTGTACTTAAGTGCTTTGCCGTGAAGCTGTCTTCACCGTTTTGGCCTGAAGGCTGTGTTGCTGGTTGCTTCAGAGTATTTATCGTAGATTTTCGACGACTGTAACGCGTCTTTGGAACTGTCCTGTGTAAATACTGACTGTAAATTGCGTTTTGATGCTTCTTTAAGTGTTGTCTTCAATTATCCAAATTCACGAACCTGTAGAACGCAACAATATATATATAATATATATGTGTGTGTATGTAATATTAACACGGCACACATTATATGTTTGGTGTGGCAGATTGCAACAAAAAAATTAAAAAAAAAAAAAGAAAAGAAAAAGAAGAAGAAGAAGGTATAGAACTAGATGCTATAGCAGCGCCATTGACAAAATTTGAATGTTCTACGCTTATCGTTGTTGAATTATGCGAGATACGTATGTACGTACATACGTCACGAAAAAAATCTCCGTTTTGGAGAAAAGACTCCTTTATTCTGTACGTACGTACAGATGTCATGCAAAAAAGTATTCAATTGGATTCGAGGACGGTTAAAATGGATATTTTCGTTGAACTATGACACCGGGAATTTTTCGCGATTACAATACTTTCTTTACTTCGGTCAATACAGTAAAAATGGGAATTAGATGATTCCATACCAAAAGCTGATCGGACAGTTAGTTAGCCCTTACGCGCTCGAAAATAAGAAATCGTTAACATTTTAGGATAAGTTTGACGAGATAAAATGAAAGTCTGTATTCCATGAGAACATCATTGTGATTGGAATTTCATTGCTTCTAATTAGAACAAAAGGCAAACTGCCTAATTAAATACAATATTTTACTCTGGCATAGAACAAAAAAAGGGGAGAGAGAGAGCTGTGATAATTAACTGTATACTGCTGTTATAATAACTGTAGTTTTTATGTACGGTAAGAGCGCGGGTTATTTTTAGGAGTTAAACAATGTAAGTATTCTATGTGGTATGATAGTAAAATCCTTTCTCTAATTCCAGAATTTCCTATACCAAAATACTCACTAAGATCCTACCGAATTTTAGAACAAACATATGGCAGAAAAAGGGGATCTTGTTTTCGAGTAAATATGGTAATAGAAGTACTTGAGAAGATTGGCAAGATGCTTCCTTTTGTTGAGTGGTTGCATGAAGAAAAGACGAAGTGGAGCATTTCCATGCAGCTGCAATGTCCATTTCGTCTACCTGGATGGCCATTGAGCAATCTTTTCTGTGTCCGTGGAGTCTCACAATAGCTTCTTCATTTGTCATTAGCATCTGTCGCTCACATAAAGGAGACACCGACCTTTGTCGATAAGTATCTTGACTTACTACAAAATATCCTGAAAGAAAAATGGATTTGTTTTAATCAAATAATTCTTCATAATATCACAACATCACTTCTTTATCATGCTTTTCATTGTATCAAAAATAAATTACTGAAAACGCATTTCTGCGAAAGTCTGACTTAGAGAAAGGCAGCCATAAAATTTAATTCTGCAACTAGAATTTTAAACAGTAGTGCCGGTATGGGCTTTGCTGTATTGTAAAAATAAATATATGCATCCTCATGCTAGGGTATTTAAACAGGGCAGCGAAACGCTTGTACACTTGCACATGAGAAGCATCATCATGGCGAAATATTAATCATGGCCGTTAAGCAGTGCAAACTAATAAGATGCATGCTCACGACGAGTTGACAAATATGTTCAATTTCCAAGACAGCTAGATTAAGGAGATTGGTTCTCTGATTCGTTCATGTGAATAAAGTATCCTCAGTTAAATGCATTACCGAAAAAAAAAAAAAAAAAAAAAAAAAAAAAAAAAGGGCGTATGTGTTCTTCCTAGTAGTGCATTAGCTAATTTCATGTATTTATTCCCAACTTCCGTCTTTTTTTCAATAATTTGTGACTTGATAATCGGAACCGAAAAACTTACGCAGTTCATGCTTAACGGAAGAATTTATACGATTAAAAACGTGTATGAACAAATGTACAAATACAGGGTAGGGCAAATAAAAGTGGTTCGGAGAACAGAGTTACTCTAATTCAGAAGTCAAACAACAAAAATCAGCGTTAATTTACAAAATTTTCACAGGACTAGTTTCGATGGTTTTACCGAACCATCATCTTCAGCTGCAAAACCGCAAATGAACAAGATAGGAAATAATGTTTAGATAAGATAAGAAAGCCTGGACAAGAATAAGCAAGTGGCGCCATCTGTTGGCGAAACCAGAACTAAAACATAATTTCTCTAAAAGCCGAAGGCAAATTTGGATTGGAATTAGGATCGTTAACTAGAACAGAAAGATTTTTATGAATGTGAAATGCCTCTAGAAAATCCAGTTCTCCAATGGAAGATGTTTTTTGAATAATTTTGGCAGCAGAAAAATTGAAAGTGTGATTTTCGGACCAACAATGTTGAGCAACAGAAGACTTCTGTGTTTCCTTTTTTCTAACATATGCCTCACGTTCTTTGACGCGAAAAGTTGACAGAGTTACTCTGTTTTTCGGGTCACTTTTATTTGCCCCAACCTATATTATTACTATTAGTTTTTTTTTCCCTAACCCAAATGGCAATTGTCCAGAAGGGCTAATTATAATGCCAAAAATTTTGCGCTGATTCACTATAAACGGCGAATGACTTTTTAAATTGCTGCCACCAAGTATTAAAGCCCTGTATTATATTGAAAGAAATTAAATAATAAAAAATCTGCATAAATGTATGTATGTTTCTCGCATTGTGATGAAACAGTGGTACCTAGAGAATTTGAATAACGTACGTCTTCACCGAATATGGGCATCCGGATACCCAAATTTGGAATTTGTTGTATTATCTATTTCATATTTTGTAAAGCATTTATAAGTTTTTGATTAAGAAATTCAACGATTTCAAAGCGAGCAATGGCAACACTGTACAGAAAAATAAAATAAAGTAAAATAAAAAATAAAAAACTCCAGTGCTCAAGACTGTGTATCGTAAATTTTAAAGATTTAAATATTTTGTGATACTGTTGTTGAATTGAATTTTATGGTTTTAGTGCGAAGAACGTGATATTTAATAAATAAATGTAACACATAAAACGTTAAACAAACACCTCATTGGGCGTAATGTAAAATCTGAAAGCTTTCAGATTCCCTCCTCTCATTCTTCATTGCTATTTGTTTCCTGGAAGGAAGGGCAAAAGCAAAATTTCTTGTTAAGCGTATAAAATTTCGTTTAGTTAATTAACCAGCTATTTCATATTAATGTGCTTTTCTGTCCTTCCTGCTTCCCGTTTTCCTACCAAGATATAAATTTGTAAGCATGCGTGGCGCTTTCTGTTAAACATTGAGTTAAATAAAAGGATCCTTTACACACTTTCCCAGTCTTTGTGATGCTTTACAAAACATAGTGATAATTCATTTAAGGTCTTTAGAAGTTTCGTACATTCATGTTACCAAAGAAGACGAGACTTTATAAGTGTTGATCTAAATATTCTTATTACCAGCAAAGGCATATAACAATAAACTTAACAACAATAAAAAATATAACAATAAACAATAAAAAATATTAACAACAATAAACAATAAAAAATATTAAAAAGAAAATTGTTTATTTTATTTTCAATGGTCATGGTATGTAATTTTTAACTATTTGTTGGAGAAGGATTACAACCAGAAGGACATTCAGTGATTGCAACTATTTGAAGATTTCGAGAGAAGGAAAAGGTGTCCACTTCTATGAAAACGCATTCCTCCATCCTGGCTACAATCTGGTATATATATATATATATATATATAATGATAGCAAAGTATAACGATGGTACCTTTTGAAGATATTCTCCAAGACATGGTGTCGTTAACTTCTACGTCCCCTCCATTTCCATTTTTATCTCTATGGAATAACCAGCCATTTTTGCTAGGGTTTTGAAAGACCGAATGGCTGTCTTCCAATGCATCTGCAAAGACTATCAATCTCAGAAAGTCAAGGAAATGGTCATTCTTCTAGTGGAGCCGACATCCTGAATACAGTGAGAAAATTTGAAATTTATGCCTACAAATCAAACGTTTGCAAGCTGTAACTTTAAAAAATAGAGAAAATACACGAAGGGGAAGAAACTTAAGTAGAAGCAGTATATCAAAGTAACGGAAACCATTGTTCAAACAGCTACAATTTTGAATGCCGCAGTGGGTTCACCTATATTTTCTTAACTTCCTACACAATTACTGTTAGTATAAGTCAATTTCCTAGATTCGCAAGGTCATGAAGAACTTCTCTCTTCAACTACCAAACATAAATAAATAAGTAAATATGAAATAGATGTCAAACAAAACATGGATTTCGCTTTACATCAACAACTCCTATTTGATCAAATTTTTATCGTCTCTCCATCCTTTATAATTATTCATTCCGTAATTACACAAAATTTATATTCTAAAAATAGATTCACAGATCATGAATAAATGCAAAATTAAACGTTCAAGAACTTTATCCAATAATGCGCTGAATGCAGAAATAATTGGTAATAATATTCTAACTTAAAAATAAAAGCAAAACATTTAAATCCATCCCATGGTCAACTTCGAGTAAAACATTAAAAATAAAATTGAGAAGCACAGTAACTAATTGCATGTAAATGGGAAAGAAGAAAAATCTGAAAGCTTTCAAATTCTACATTACGTTCAAAGGAAGGGGGGCTTTTTTAAGCTTTTTGTGTTACCTTTATTTATTGAATACCATGTTCTTCGCACTTAAACCATAAAATTCAATTCAACAGCAACATTACAAAATAGTTTTAAAATGAGCATATCTCTAGAATTTCCGATACACAGTCTCCCGCGCTAGAGATAAAAATGATTTTTTCCGCACAGTGGTGCCATTGCTCGATTTGAAATCTTTGAGGTTTTTAATGAAAAATTTATTAAGGTTTTATAAAATATGAAATAATAAAAATATTCCAGATTGCAAATTTGGGCTTCCAAATGCCTATATTCGAGTGGAGGATTACGTTATTCAAAATTAAATGTCTCTAGGTACCGTTGTTTTTTCACAATGCAAGAAACATACATTCATAGAGATTCTTAATTATTTAATTTCTTTAAATAGAAGGCAGGGCTCTAATATTTGGTGGCAACAATTTGAAAAGTGATTCAGACTTTTATAGTGAACCGACGCAAAATGCCAAAACGAAATTAATAGCCATTCTGGGCTAATGCCCATTTGGGCTAAACATGTACACCAAAAAAGAAAACCAGTAAAGGAGGAAGTTTTTTTATTTCCTTCGCCGCGTCGTTTTCAGGGAGTTGGTGAAATGAAAGAAATAAATGAATTAATCTGTTTGGGAACCGAATAATGACATAAATTAGAAAATCAGAATTTTTTTCCTTTATAATTTATTTTTCATTTTACGGTTTTACTTTTTTCCTATTTTTTTACTACACTATCCTTAATGTTTCTTTAGAACGTCTATTCAATTAGACAGTTTTATTTTGATTTTAATTTTATACAAAGCACATTTTAGGATTAACTCAAGATTTATTTTTATTTATATCCTGCTAGTTTAATAGAATTTATTTTATATGGTTTAGAATTCTATTTGTGTGTTATTCAAAATTTTCATACTAAACTAACTCGCCCCTTTCTTTTTTCTATAGTTATTATAGTTTATATAGTATATATATATATGGTATCATGTGCTGTTTTACATATATTTAGATGAATTAGTTATTTAGTTAGACTCACTCTGCTGGAATGATATTATTTCTGCATAATTTAGTTGTTTTTACTTTTTTACGCAAGTCACTTCAGCCTAATTCCAGACTGATGCGTAGAACTGATGAAGACATAAATTTCTGTGATAAATTTTCTACTTTTAGTCTACAACCAGAAAGCATCTGATGTGAACACCACATGATGTCTTAGTACGGTCTATTGAATTATACATATTTTTTGCTGCATTTCATTTAAACTTATTTCTTCGAATTTCATTAGACATATTTTTCTCATTCAATTAATTCAGTTCTCACTTCGCGACAAGGGAAAATCGCTTAAAAAATCAAAACACCTGCTTTAATAACAGGGCTGTGGAGTTGGAATCGGAATCAGAGACATGTTAAGACAGATTTGGGGATAAAAGGAGTAGGAGCTGGAATCGCTAAAAACACGTCGACTCCGAATTTTTTTTTTTTTTTTTTTGGACAGTTTGAAATGAAATGAAAGTGAATTAAAAAAAATAATGACAAGCCGAGTTATTATTTTTATTTATGTACTATATACATTAATAAATAGTTAATTTCTATTTTATTGACCATATTAATAAATAAGTATAAGGGATGAGGATGGCTGTGATATTTGCCATTAG